TTTTTTGCAAAAATAACGCTTAAAAATTTGCAGAATACGAGAATGTAAAAGACCTCCCAACTAATAAAATTAGACACTTTTATTGTTGCTAATATTATTGAGTGATAAGAGTTCCAATTTTTTAACGTAATTTTTACTCATATATTATTGCGTGATGTGATGTGTCAATTTTCGATGGTTTATTTTCGATTAGTTTGAAAATTAATCGGTTAATCGCTCGATTAATCGAAAGGAAAATTTCGATACAATTAAATCGTTAACCGAATGAAAATAACCGATTATAATCGGTTATTCGATTAATCGTGCCATCACTATGAGGAAGAAGTTTTGCCTCCAAAGAGGCGCCGTCCTGCAGAGCATCCTTGTAACGAAAAGCGTCAAGATGGAGTTCATCATTGGCCAGCTGAAGAGGACATAAAGTCCTCAAAAATGTGTCAGCGTAAAGGTTGCTCATCGCGTACACGCACTAGATGTGAAAAATGTAATGTTTTCTTGTGTTTATCCAAGAATAACAATTATTTCAAAAAATATCACACTGACAAATAAATATTTTTGGTAAAAATCAATGTTTAAATAATCTCGTGTTTTTTTACAAGATAGGCCCACATGCATCATTTGTGCGAGTCCTTAAAAAGTTGGTAGGACATAAGATTAACTGTACTAAGACTTTATTTCGGTTTTAGGGTCATAAAAACATGAACATAACTAAAAATTGTAAAAATTGCAGAAGTAAATAGTTTAGCCATGGGTCTGAAAGGGATATAGTTATATGTGGGCGGCACCACGCCCATTTTCCGAAATTCCATAATAATATTACTTCTTTTCAAGGGATTGTTAATAGTATCAATTTTGGGTAAAATTAGCTTCCTTAAATTTCGAAATATCAAAGTTTGAAACATTTCTGAAATTTACCGTTATATAAAAGTGTGCGTAATTTTAGTCAGATTTCAAAACTTTCAACGTTTTGCCTTTATGTGGCAACCACAATAATCATACCGAGTTTGGTACACATTGATCGAGCGGTTACCGAGATGCACATATGTGGTTATAAGTGGGCGGGGTCACGCCCATTTTCCAACCTTTTATTATAAGCCTATTTTTTGCTAAAGAATTATTGCAAAAATCAATTTTGAATAACCTAGCTTCAGTATTTACTGATTTATAGAAGCTTTCGTATTTCTCTAAATTACCTTTATATGGGATGTGGGCGTGGTTATTATCCAATTTTTAAAATTCTAAGCCGTTTGGTATGTTTTGTGAAGGCCAAGAACTGTGCCAAGTTTGGGAGTAATTGGTGGAGCGGTTCCCAAGATATACACATGTAATCATAAGTGGGCGTGGCCATGCCCATTTTCCAAAAGTTTATAATATTCTTATTTTTCGCCTAAAAATTATTGTAAATAGTAATTTTGAGTGAATAAGCTTCAGTAGTTACTAAAATATCGCAGTTTTCGTATTTCTCGAAACTACGTTTATATGGGAGGTGGGCGTGGTTATCTTCCGATTTTGCCTATTTTCAATACCATCCGTCCAACGCTCAAGAGAAGTACACACACCAAGTTTCGTTAAGATATCTCAATTTGTACTCGAGTTATCGTGTGCACAGACGGACGGACGGACGGACAGACATTCACCGCTTAATCGATTTCCCTTTTCATTCTGAGCATTTATGTATACATTTGTCTAAATCTATCTCGAGTCGTTTTGCCTGTTACAAACAACCGTTATGTGAACAAATTTATAATACCCTTGTGCACACATGTGCTCGGGTATAAAAATACTTGACATCCGCATTCGCATCGGCATCCGCGGGTGTCT